TTCTCTTTGCGCGCGGGTGCAAAGAGGATGGAGGGCCACTGGCTTGGGTATACGTTGGCTCTGCGAACCTGTCCGAGTCGGCCTGGGGAGGCCAGAAAGTGGGCAAGAGTGGCGGTCTAGGAAAGCTCAATATTAGGAACTGGGAATGTGGTGTCATCGTGGCGGTGCCAGAGGAAAGACTGGCACGGATTGAGGAGGTGGGAGATGGAGGCACAGTGCTGCCAGAAATGGGGGTGTTTGAAGAAATTGTCGAGATTCCCTTTCACTATCCTGGGACTGTGTTTGGGAAAAGACGGCCTTGGTTTCGAGCTCGGTGAACTGCTTGCTACCCAGCACCACCATGTCGGATATGATGGACTGTAGTCAGTGGTCCGAGGCTAGTACAAGTTGCTCAACTTAGTTTTTGGACCGGCGATACGGCCATACTGAATCGAGACGACGAGATGGATGGGAAATTTCTTTTCTCTTGGCTTTCCCTTTGTTCTTCTTCTCCCATGAGTAAGAGAAAGGTGCCATGGTGCAAGAGATGTGCGTGACAAGGAGCTTCTACATTTACTTACCTAGGTATCGACAGCCTGTATGTACTAGGTACAATATAAGGCAATGCTTTACTCGAGAGCGATCGGCATTGCTAGCGATGCCTGTTGTCTGACATGTTCTACAGTAGCTACTGTATGACATGTGTACTGTGAGTGTCTTGAGCCCTTGTACAGACAAGGGGGGGCTGCATGCTGGTGCTTATGTTCGGCACCACCCGACAAGACAGATTCGATCATGCATTGTATAGGTAGGTAGGTGGTATGGGGGAAGGGATTGTGGTAGCTAGCTGACCTCATGGCTAGGGAGACAGACTCTCGAACGTTTGATCATCACCAGCACTGAAGTCTGAGCAGTGGATAGGTAATTGCAGATGAACCATGACGGTCGGCTGCGAGGCCCCATGTGCCAGCTCAGCAAAGATACCATTTTCTTAATCGTCTTCTTCTTTTGGAATCGATCGCACATGTTTGTCGGACCAGTTCGGCGGACCCAGGCGGCAGGATGGGGGCTGGGGGCAAGGGTGGTAGGGCAAGCGACTGTAAGTCCCCGACCCTTGAGGAGCCGTCAGCGTCCAAGCGTCAGACAGTGCGCAACTTGCGCCACGAGCGAAGAGTGAAAGGAGGAAGAAGCCAGGAGGAGGAGGAGGAGGAGGAGGAGGAGGAGGAGCAGATGGCGGCGACGTGCGGCTGCGGCTGCGGCTGCGCAGGATAACCTAGCTCATTGCACATCGCATGTGGTGCTTGCAGCAGCATACCTTAATCATGTCTTTGCCACGGTGTTTGGTACACTTGCACTTTGGATTGTAACAACTCCAACCTACACACGTCTCTTTGACTCT